GAGAGAGAGAGAGAGAGAGAGAGAGAGAGAGAGAGAGAGAGAGAGAGAGAGAAAACAAAAACAAAAAACCGCACCCCACAAAAACCCATTGTAGTGTTAAAATGACAAGATTACTGGGAAGAAAAACATATCCCAACAGTTGGATTAAATCCAGATAACAAATGATGCATATGAAACGTACGGTGACACCTGGGGAAATGGTATGAATATGAAGGCTGAACATAAAACGTTACACATTAAATGAGCAAACAATACAGGGGGAAAATGCACAGGGCCAGGGCTATAGCTCAGCAGCAGAGCACTTACAAGGCATGCATGAGGCTCTAGGTTTGACTCCTGTTACTCAGCAGACTGAAAGAGAAACCCCACTCTTGCCAACCTGAGCAATTTAGTGAGACTCTGTCTCAAAAAACAAAAACGAGTAGCTAGGTGTGGTGGCACAAACCTGTAATTCCAGCACTCGGGAGGCTGAGGAAGGAGGATCTTCAGAGTTCAAGACTGGTATGGGCTACAAAGTGAGCTCAAGGCCAGTCTGAACTGCACAGGGGAACCTTGCCTCAAAAAGAAAGGGGAAAAAAAACCCAAAAAACAAAAACAAAAACACCCCACAGAGGATTCAGCCTAGTTTCAAGGCCCTGGATTCAATCCCCAACACTTCACAAAAGGAAAAAACTGGAGAAGAGGACAGCCCTCTGGGGAGCAGGAGGTAGCTTGGTGGTAGAATACTTAATTAGCATTTGCCAGGCCTTGGGTTCCATCCCCAGGATCACAATACATACACACGCACATATCTCAAGGACAGCTCCAGAAATAAAGGACACGAGTTCCGAGACTGAAAAGACCATCCAGTACCCAGTACAAGACATGGAGAAAGAGCCCCACCCAGGTTAAGAAGAAAATCTACAAATTCCAAAGAGAAAGTGACAAAGAACAGAAGCAGCATCCAGCTTTTCTATGAGACACCAAGTGGAATTGCTAAGGAGCAATGCCTTATAATTGTGGAAGAAAGTGATTTTAAACACAGCCAGACTCATGCAACAGAGGGAAAAGGCATGTCTGATATTCAAGGCCTCTATTCCCTCCCTTATAGCTCCCCCTCAGGAAGTTTCTAGGAGATCCCCTACTCCAACAAATCTTATCCCCCCAGAGGCAGGCGGGGTGTGGTAGGTAGAGGGATGGACACAGGGATTCAGGCATAAGACACCTAAGTGACAGAGGGGAGGCGAGCCAGCCTCAGGACCCCCTGGAAGGCTCCTGAACAGCCCTGGAGCATGAGCCCAGGCTCAGGAAGAAGTGTCCTGCATAGGATGAAATATAAGACAAGTTCTTAAAGGCCTCAGCCTATTTAAAGAGATTTACACAACCAGCAAAGTGTGTGATGCTGGAAGGCAGAATAAATCAAATCCTAAGAGGAGAGTCATGAACTGTAAGAGAAAAGCAGTGTTTCCAGCTAGCGGGTCCGCTCTCAACAGCATTTACACAGTGAATGCATTTGAGCCAGCACTGACGTGTCAATAAATAGCAAAACAAATGTTACTCAGCAATATGTTAACTATTATGAAAATAACGAAAAGGGATCATCTCTGAGGAGCAGGAAGCACAGAGTTGCCTTAGTAAAACAGAATTTAACATTTCTGGCAATTAAAGCTTGCTGAATCAGATAACCATGAACAAAAGCCGGCGCCAACTCCCCACCAGAATTTCTAAGCCTCCCGCCTGCCTTGCGGACTGCGCGAGGAGCACCTCCGCCGCCTCCACCCACCTAGGTGCACGCGGCCGATGATCTTCTGCGTGCCCACTCCCTTGGCGATCCCTGCCCACCGCCGGTCCACCAGCCTCATGATATTGCACCTTTCTGCACAGGCTTGGCTCATAATTGTCATCTGCGCACCTACAAGAGGAGAGAAGTGTCACAGAATCAAAAAATAAAAGTGAAGTCCATGTTTGTAGCAAGACTCAAAATACAGCTGTTAAGAATAAGGCAGAGGGCTGGTGAGATGGCTCAGTGGTCTAAAGCAACTACTTAGAACAAGCTTGGCAGAGCAGAGGGACCACGGTTCAATCCCCCAGCACCACATGCCAGCCAGCCCCGCCCCCTGGTGGAATAAAATTATATAAATAAATAAAATTACATAATAAATACATAAATAAAATTAAAAATAAAATAAAATAAATAAACTAGGGTTCTCGCTACAGACTGGTCTCAAACTCATGATCTTTCTGCCTCAGCCTCATGGAATTACAGGCATGTGCCACCATGCCTGGCTATTAAGTGATATTTAAAACTTTATCAATAATAAACAGGCATAGTGGCACATGCCTATAATCCTAGCACTCAGGAGGCTGGGGAGGAAGATCACAGTGAGTTCAAAACCAAAAATGTTATCAATAGGAAATAAAACTACCTGGAACAACCCTTCTACAAGTTCAAATGATGACTACTAAGTCCACAGATGGCAATGCTAAATTAAGCAGCACTTCACAGTCAGAAAAGTTCTCACTGAATATTTCTAAGCATTTTTTTTTCAAGTTATTTTTATTTCAAACTTTAAGACAGCATAGTTCACCAACAAAAAATACATTCTAAGGCTGGGGTATAGCTCAGTGGTAGGGTGTTTGTCTGGTATGGGGAAGGTTCTAGGTTCAATCCCTAACACAATTCCTCTCCCTAAGAAAGTCCTGGAGTCTCCCAGAAATCTGATGTGCACCCCCACACTATGTGCCAGCAACGATCAGGCTTTCTCCCTTCAGCACTGAAGGCACTTATGGTGTCCCTCCCCACATCCTCAGCTAAGTCGGCACACGTCAGAGATGGACACATCAGCCACCTGAACTCTAGCTCCATGCTCTGGGCATACTGCACACGTCTACCTCAGAGCCAAAAGGTGTAACCTCCCCTCACAATCCTCACTTTGGCCTTCTCTATCTTTGCACTGGCAGTGCATTCTTGCAGTCCTGAAACCTGGACATAGTTCACTATTGACGCCTCCTCCCTCTCTCTGTTATCAAACCCTGCCTTGAGCCTATGAGTAGGTTCTGTGCAATTCCTGCTGTTTCTGACTTTCCTCCTCCAACCAGAGCTGTCTGCCTTACTCATACCCTCTCCACTTGCAAGTGGACGTCTCTGGCTTCTAGACCACTATGGAGGTATGATTTACAGCAAGGACACAGTTATGACCTCTGGGGTACAGAATTCTCCATCTGCCTTCAGCTGTCCTCACCGCGCACCTCCTCCTAATCAATGACATCATCTACAAGCAGACCTCGCTGGTTTCTACCCTGGGACAGTTTCAAACTGTACCACCAGAGTCTCAGACCCCGCCTACTCCTGGCCTTGCTGCTGGCTTCTTGCTGCCTGTCCCCACTCTATCCTGTCTGCAAGGGCTGGTGCGCGCCTCCTCTGCCCCCATTTACCTCGGCCTATCCGGGGTCCCTGCGTGCTCTCACCTTCTCTGAATTGCACCTGTGCTTTGGCCCAGCTCAAATCTAGCTCCCCTCTGGGATCCTGCCCTCCTTGAATTCCAGTACTTCCTGACCATCTTACGCCTTAGGTACCCCAGGTGCCAAGGGGGCCAAAAGCTTTTGGCATTTTAGGTAAGATTCAAGAAGTCCCAGAAATAATCAAAGGAAGGGCGACTGGGGAAAGGCCAGCTCTTTCCTCCCTCTTTGCCTCCCTCCCACAGTCCACAAAAGCCAGGGACTAGTGTAACTAAAGTGAGCCAGTACGAGAGGTCTCCTCCACCTCTTGTCAAACCTTTGCTCCAGGAACCAACCAAAGGCGCTTTCTCTGGGAATATGCTCCTACGAACGCTACGCAGAGCGACATTAGGTCCCATGTCCTCCTGACACTCACTGAGTCTCACACAGTGGAGAAGAATTCTGGTACACAACACCACTCAGATGCCACACCTGGGAGAGGGACTTCACCTCCCTACACTTAGTATGATTACTTATTGCAGAACAGGAGCAGGAGAACAAATTCACAGGACGAAATAAAGGGACTGAAATGGTCTGGCACACAGTCAGGGTTGAGGGACCATCATACCCCCTCCTAGCACTCTGAAGCTCCAGCAGGAAGTCTCACCACCAAACTCAGCCAAGGCACCACAAACAGCACATGATACTTTTAAACTCAATAAGCAAGATGGACTTCTCCCAAGAATGGGCCTGTATCTGAAGATACAAACTTCCATCAAGAGCATAAGCTCAAGTAGTTGTGGAGAATGGAGCCAGTTTTCCTATTCCAAGAAGTCACTCCACCTTAAAGCTGAGTCAAAGACACAAAATTAAGATGCACAAGGCCACTGAGTGACACAGCCATGAGGTGCTCACTGTGTTATTTATTGATATTCCATAGTCTTACTAAAAAACAAAGAGTTCTCACTAAGAGAAGCGGTGCTAGTTAGTATGTGGGCTACTTGAGCCTGAAAGTGGCAAACTCCCTGCCTCCTCGCCTGCCTGCGAATTCCAGGTGCAGGGACAGTGGCTCACTAGTCCTTATATTCCTAAGAGCAAAGTGCTGGCACATAGCCTACGTAACTCAAGTTCTTTATTCTATACACACTGGTTCCAATTTCTTACAGATGTACCTCAAAAATTAAGGTTAATAAATAAGGGAAAACAGGAAGACAAAAGAAACTGCAAAATGTAGAACTAGTGCCTGGGATATAGCTCAGCAGCACAGCACCTGTCTGGCAAGTACAAGGTCATGAGTTCAATTCCTAGTACAAATGAAAGAAAAAAAATATAGCGTTGGGCTGGTGAGATGGCTCAGTGGTCTAAACCACCTACTTAGAACAAGCTTAGCAAAGCACAGGGACTGCAGTTCAATCCCCAGCACCACATGCCAGCCAGCCCCGCCCCCTGGTGGGCTGAGCTGCCCCCCCCCACACAAATAAATAAATAAATAAAATTTAAAAAAAAAATAGCGTAACAGGTCTCGAGATGAAACTACTACCAGCAGAGACCGGCCAATCAAACAGTAACTCCCATGCTCACTGCAAACAGTTAAAGGACTACAGCTATCCATCCATCTAGAGTGTCTCTGTCATAGTCTCTGTATCTGAATGTTCCCTCAAAGCCTCCTGTGCTTATGGCTGGGACTCTGGGGAGGTGACCAAACCACAAGGACGTGACACTCGGATGGATTAGTCTGCTGATGTCAATGAGTTTACAGCTAAAAGTAATGCTGGAAGGTGAAGTCTGACTGGAGAAGTGGGTCTCTGGGGTGTGGCCCCAAAGTTTCCCTCCCCCCGTGATCTCTCTCTGCCTCCCCTCACCCTGACATTCTCCTCTGCCATGCCATCCTGCCTTGGAGTCAGCCGACTATGGCCCCAGATCTCTACAAACTGTGAGTCAAAATAAACTTTTCCTCTTTTAGTTTTGAGCGTTTGGCATCGTGTCCCCTTCTGCTGTGGCAGAGCAGGATGTTGGAGAGGGTAGGCAAGATACAAAAAACGGAGACCTCACCTGAGTCAACAAAGGCTTTCACAGGATGTCCATTCACTTTGCAGTTAATATAAAGCATCACCACTTGGCCAAAGCTTTCTGGAGCCTCTTCCATGGCTATAGTCATGTTCTCCTCAATGTTCTGTTGCCTGTAACAAAACAAAACCAGGTGCACTAAAAGCACTATTTCTAGGAAGATCACTCTGTTGAGCATTCACAGTATTAAAAACAGGATTTCCCGGGCTGGTGAGATGGCTCAGTGGTCTAAAGCACCTACTTAGAGCAAGCTTAGCAAAAGCACAGGGACCGCGGTTCAATTCCCCAGCACCACATGCCAGCCAGCCCCGCCCCCTGGTGGGCTGAGCTGGCCACACACACACACACACACACATATTTTTTAAAAAAACAGGATTTCCTGGGCTAGAGATATGGCTCAGTGGAATAAGCGCTTCCCTGGCAAGCGTAAGGGCCTGAGTTCAATCCCCAGTTCTGCAAAAACAAACAAATAAAAACAGGATTTCCATACATATTTTGCCTGAAACAGAACTGAGTCATGGAATAGAAATGAGGGTTCTATTAGGGAATGGTGGTGCACAAGCACAATACCAGCACTTGGGAGGCTGAAGCAGGAGGATCTTTGCAAGTTCAAGAGCAGCCTGGGCTACAATACAAAGTGAGCTCAAGGCCAGTCTGAGCTGCAGAGAGAGACCCTGTCTCAAAGCGATCAAAAAATGGGGCCAGACAGATAGCCCACTCAGTGGAGTAAGTTCTTGCCAGGCAAGCACAAGGTCCTGAGTTCAATCCCTGGTACCACCAAAAAAAAAAAAAAAAAAAAAAAAAAAAAAATTAGGGTTCTGTCTTGCAATGGATGACTCAGTAAGAGGTAGTGAGATGTACAGCAGATAAAAAAATATCTGAAGGCATAAAAAAATTACTCTCATGTAAGATAATTAAAGTCCTTTTATAAACAACAGAAAAATAAACTAGAGTGCATGGTCACAGCTGTTTTTATCCTGCAGAATGTTAAAAGAGTTTCGTATGAATGCTTCATTTTCTTTGGTACCAAGAATGGAACTCAGGACCTTGCACCTGCCAAGGAGGCACTGTGCCACAGAACTATGCCCCCAGGCCAAATGTTTCAGTTTTAACTGAGGATTACTGGGTATGAGAACACATTTCCTATGCCCAGCCCATTGAAAAGTTTGGAAAGAGGATGTACAAGTATTTTCAACTGCTATTGCTGTACCAGCTGCCTCCTCTCCAAGAATGGGTTTTCCAGTATATAAGAGGTACTAATGCCTCTAACAGTTCTACGAAGTACAAAACACGCAATACAACATGAGCAGAGGCTCAAAAATTTAGGAATCAGCTGGTCACAGTCTTATATTCCCAGCTGCCGGGGAAGGCAAAGCAGGGAACCCCAAGTTCAATGTCAACCTGGGGGAGTTAATGAGCTCTCACCTCAAAACGAAAACATACAAAGGGCTTGAGTATAGTTCAGAGGTGGAGTGCTTGCCTAATATGCAAGAGGCCTTGGGTTCACTCTCTCATGGTGCCACAAAAAGGATACATCTCTATCACTCAAAAATACACATGAATCACAGTTCATTGGATGCGTCAAATCCTTTCTTTAAAAAAGTAATGTGGCTGGGCAATTTACCTGACTACTGAGACAGTAATGGAACAGGGTCCAAGATTTGAGGTAAACTATGCTGTGAACCAGGGATCCAAGTATCTGTGTAAATGAACTATATGGAATACAGCGACACCATGCACTCACACACCAGCCTGCTTTCTACACTGGCTTTCACACGACAGTGGCAGAGGTGGACATGCGCTACAGAGCTAGTAGGGCCTGTGAAGCTGGAAATATTTATATGCTAACCCTTAAAATCTGTTAATCCCTATAAATTACAGTGCTTGTCCTTTCTGTAATATTCAAGCTCAAATGAACTGATAGTTTAATCAGCCATTCTGTAATAAAATACTAACCTTTCCAGAAAGTAAAAGGCACCCTTGTTTAACTTAGGCAAATGGCAAAACTGTCACACCTCCAGTGTACACATGCCAAGTGATCGCCGGTGTAACATGCTGTAAAAAACTTTAATAGGCAGTTGATATAAGTACACACCTTTTATTCCTCTGCACTTTATTAAGATACACTCTAAAACTAACACTGAATGTCCTTGTCCTAACCTGGCATTCACTAACCCAAATTCTTCTGGCAAAGAAAAAAAAAAGCTCTGAGACAACACCAGTTACTCTTGACTATTCTGGGTTCTGCATATCTCTTCACAAACACCAAGTTTTCTCCTCCATCTTACTGTGTTTTTATGTTGAGACAGGGTCTTGCTAAACTGCCAGAGGGGACTCAAATTTGTAATCCTGCCTCAGCCGCACACCTGTAATCCCACGCATTGGGACTGCAGGTGCACAGTGGCTAGGCTCTTTCCTTTACAAGCTCGGACGCAGGGCTGGAGTGCTGCTCAGTGCAAGACAGCCTGCCGGGATACACGAGGGCCTGGGCTGCGTCTTCAGAACAAGCAGAGAAAGGAGGTCTCAGTTTCCTTCACCCCAACCCCAAGAAGAAACAGGAGCCACCTGGCTGTGCTCCACTTCGCTTCTAGTTTTCCAGCAGCTCAGTTACACTCTGCCTAGGTCTTGCTACCTCTCCTGTTGCCTGGGCTGAACACAAACTGTTTGCTTTTGAGACAGGGTCACACTATGTAATATCGGGTAGTCTTTTCACCTCAGGTTCCCCTGTGTTGGGCTCACAGGCATGCACGAGTATGCCCAGTCCAGAACAGTTACTCCTGAAACTTCTGTCAGCTATCTCTTCTAGCTGCAATGAGGTCTAGCAGTGAGGACACAAATATTCTCCTGTTTCTCTGGGTAGATTTCACTGGTGAGAGGGTTCTCAAAGTGACCAGTATCTGCTATCATGAGTGGGAGCACTTAATGAGAACTGAGGGCTGCTGGCTGATCCAAAGCAATTTACACTGCTGTGATTCAAAGGTGGCCTGAG